AGGCATAATGAGATGGCAAAAACTTTGCCTTCTTCCCTCTCCCGCTCTTACTCACCATTCTGGTAACGATGACTTTATGTACAGGAAAGGACAAAAAGAGGATTACATCATTTTTCCGGAGGTAACATTTACTTGGCCAATTCTGAAGATGTACCTTTAGTTTTAGGAAGGGGCTAGCTACGAGATCATGTTTTTGACTAAGGCTTGAAAGAAATAAATTGCTTTTTTTTATTGGACGGAGGGGAAGAGGAGGAAGATGAATTTCTTCTTTTTTTTTTTTTTTTCAAATGAAAGAGAAGACAGAGCGGTTGAGAATCTTTTTGCAGCAATAAAATAGTAGAAGTTTTGCAACATTCTGGATTGGTTCAAAATGAAGCTGTGTAGAGTATCAAATTGCACTCTGTCTTCCCCTTTTATGGACTACAGAAAAAGCATTCGATAGCGCTGAACACGGTTCCCGTGATGCACATATCCTTGCGAGAGAGGAAATGATTGAACAGAAATTGCACTTCTTGGCTTTCATCAGTACCTCGCCTACGTTCTTTCATTCATCTCTTCTTATTTCAAATTCTTATTTTATTCTCCGAAACTTATCATGAACAATCGAAAACGCCTTCGTCAATGTTGAAAATTTGAATAAATGCAAGCAACAATAAGCAAAGAATACATGCACAAAGAAAATTTCCCAAATTATGCAAATTTATGAACAAAGACAAAAAAAGCAGCGGCAGAAATGCGGGAAACCAGACAAACTATCCTAGGCCAACGATTTCGGTATGGAGGAGAGCAAAGACAGCTACCGTACAGTTGGCTTTTGTACAGTCCGGAACATCAAAGAAGGATCCCCACAAACAACAAAACGGCTCGTACAGTCGGTGTGGAGTTGAAGGAGTTAGTGCTGTTGCCAGAAGGCAATTATACTTGTGACACAGCGCTAAGCGAAGTCTTTCGCTATTGTAATCATCACTATACATTAATAATTATTTACAATTGGTGGTTGTTTCGTCATCGTGTTTCTTTTCGCCACTGATACATCTGACAACTTCTCCAATCCTTTCAATTTGAGCTTCTCTCATCCGTAAAATTTCGGCACTGACAGACGATGAGGCAAATGAATACTCGAACCATAAAAGCGGTTACGCTCGTGTTATAAAGCCGGGACGAGGGGAAACCAGGAAGGATGGATTTGGAAATTTTTCAGGATCAAATCGATCGAATTTTCAATATCTGCAAGCCAGGCTTAAACTCATCATAAGTTCGTTGGATCTTGAGTTTACATGGAAAGCAGATAGATACAAAAGTATGAGATGAAGCGCTGCGAAAACTGAAACTGTTTCTAAGCATCCAGGTTTCAAAATAGCTTGTTCGTAAAAGCTTTTTTTATAGATTTCCTCAAAGCAATCAATTCGCTTTTAGACACTAGAAGTGGCTGCATGGTCGGGATTATTTGAGATGCAACTGAAAGAAAGAACTAAAGGATGAGATTTCAGGGCAGGAGAAAGGAGGAGACACAAAAGGAGCTCGTTTTCCCAACTCGAAAATCAAGTTTCAGTTTTCAAAAAGAACAAGCACCGGCTGAAACATCCGCTGAAAAAAAAAATTCAGGAATTATAAAAATCTTTTACAAAGAAATTTGACATTCAAGAAATTCAAAGAAAAAAAATTCTGGATGGAGCATTTTCAGAGGCGCATTATAGGAACACAGCATTATGAGAGCAAGACAAGCGACAAATCGACAGCAATAAGGCGAACAAAAGAAGGCAATTTTTTTTTTACAAGATGAAGAAGTATCCACAAATAATCCCTCTCCTCCAGGAACTGAATACAGTGATTTCTGCTTCTTGCACAATGGTATCCATTAAGTACCACTACAGGAGGAAGAATCTGGAATGGCGGTACTGTACCAGCAGCAACAGCTGCCAAGCACTACGGGCATCCGGAGATAACTTACACGGAGATATTGAACTGGCAATAACAGCACACTGACAAAACTTTCGGGTGATATCTCCCAGAAACCCCGAGGGAAGTGTAAACTGAAAGCAGTTCGACCCTCTGGCATGGCAGAATAAGTAAATCGGCAATAATACACAACCAGAAAAAACAATACTCGTTCGGTCAACTCTTTTCATTTGCAAACTGGTACTGGAATTTACTGGAAAATCAAAACCTTCATTTGCAAGAATTCCCGGA